GGCATGCCATCCTCAGAAAACTCCAGCATGGTCTCTAGAGAGCTCCAGTAAGACAGAATGGTGTGAATCTGAATTGCAGTACCCTAGTAGGTGAGGGCCATCTTTAATGGGCCCATGATCTTACCACATTAACAAGGTTCCTACCTTGGCATTGTTGTAGCATTTTTATATATATATATATATATTTCACTACTCTAAATAGGAAGAAAAAAGCTTTATTGACTAGAAATGTAAACACCAAATCGTACTTGCAGGTCCATATAGGTACTGTTCCTTCTATGTAAGAAATACGTCCATCTCTTTAAAAGCATGATGTTTTATACATGCCACTATATCTACTACAATAAAGTTTTTACTGTCTACTTTAAAATATATCTAAAACAAATTATATCACAAAGTTACCTATTTGAAAATCACTAATTCTCTAACTTGAACCCAATTTCATAGACATAAAGCTCACAAGTTAATTTCAAGTCAAAAAGTTTTGTTTTGAGTTACAGGTTCCTATAATATTTGAAGACTACATAAAAACCTGTTTACTGGAATTTTATCCTGTTTGTCCATGATAATCTATGAAAGCATTGTTTATCTTTTTTGTGATATATGAAGGTAAAATTTCACCAGAACAATCAACCAAAGTGACTTTGGGAACATTACCAACAAATCTCTCTCCTCCAGAGCAATTTTTCTAAATATCATCATCCCTATTATTTGAGAATTTATCCTTGCATTAATTCAATAACAAACTGATAGGTTTTGGTTTTGTTTTTTGGTGAGGAGATGAATTAGACAAACAACTCAAACTTGGCTATTTTAAAAGAGCCCTGGTGGTTTTGTTTTTTGTTTTTTTTACATATTGAAAATCCAACTTCTCATCTATTTTTCACAATTTTTTTTATTTATTTTCAGGTTTTTCTTAGTATTCCTTTCTCTTTATCAGAAACTGTGAGCTTTTAAAAACTCTTTATTGATATAAATCACAGTAATTTCCTGTTTCATTTTTAGCTGTGGGGATTAAATTCTTACCCTTGTTACTTATAAGAGAGTATGACACAGTCCCTTAAAAATGGTGAAGTAATAACCACAATTATTTATTTAGACCACTACAATTTATTCACCATCTCCCTCCCACTTATATTATAGAGTTTCTACCACTTTCTTTTGTTCTGTGTGAGACAGGATATTACTATCCAGCACAGCCTGACTTCAAATGTGCAATCCCCCTGCCTTTCCCTCTGGAGCATTGGGATTACAAGTGTGGAGTACTACATTCACCTCTGACTACTATTTTCTTGACCTAGAGGAAAATCTTCTTTCCTTCACAGGGGACTAGACTTCTAGTTATAGCATGTAAAATGGGTACTTTCACACCAAATAATATTGATATAACTCAAGAACTTCCAACACATCACCAGATTTAGCAATGAAATTAATTTTCTGCATTTTTCTCACCTTTTAATAATGTGTACATATCAGTGACCCACCCACCAGTATCTGAAAGGAAAATATCACCCAAACTTAACCTTTCTCTTTCTTTCCTGATTATTCTAATCATTATGTATATTTTTCTTGCTATGTTTGATAATGAAGTGAGCAACTTTACTTAATTATTTAACAAACCTTCATCTAAAAGTTTGAAGGAATCTAGACTATGAGACTCTGCTCTGCAGTAATTGGGAAATCTCAGCTTTAATAATATTTTCCTTTTTAAGATTTCTTCCCACTTCAGGATTGTTCTCTTGGAATTTAATAGTATATTTTTTTAGAATTTTAAATTACATCTTCAGTTTTATGCAACATAAATTTATTTAAATGTTAGAATATTTTTTTCATGTCCCTTAGCATACAGGTATGTTCTCTTCATTCCTTTCCAGACTTTGGGTCCTTGCCTGACTTACAAGCATAGCTGGCAACTACTTCCTTTTGTTAAAGACAAAAATAGTATTTAATTGTTTCAGATACTAACACCTAAAAGTTATATTATGAAAATTCATCTGAAATAAAATTTGGTTTCTATTTAACAAGGACCAAAACACATGAAGAATAGCACTGTTGGTTTAACACACACACACACACACACACACACACACACACACACACACACACACACCTTATAGAAGGTATTTTTTTTGCCTAAATTTTAGCAAACCCAACTTACATTTAGTCTTGTGTTGCTTTTTAAATCTTAATGTTTTAAGTAATACAAAGTAATCTATATTCTAGACTTATTGATTGATTGATTTTAAACTACAGGAAACACGAAGTATTTATATAGAAATGATATTAAAGCCTTCTCTTTCTGGTGGTAGCAGAAAATGCTGTTTGCTTGAGGAAGGTAGACTCAAAACAACACTGGCCATAAAGCAGACTATCTGATCTAGTAGGCTGTGCATATTGGATTTTTTTTTTCTAAGTCAACTTCAGGAACACAATCCTGCCAGAAATCTATACACGTACTTAAAAATGTGCAAGTGTCTGTAAATGTGTTGTGTCTGAGAAACCTAAAGAGTTTTTGACCTCACAAATAATCTTCTTTGTTAGCCAGTGAGATACATGGGATAAGCAGAGTTTAAACTCTACATTGACTGGAATGAAATTGTTAAAATGGCTGTCGTCACCCTAGCATAAAGGACCATGGCTGTCTCTTCACCAGAATCTACCCTGCTGCAGGTACAACCCCTAGAGTGATGCTGTTTCTCCTGAAGCCGGCCTTTAAGCACCCATGGATTACTTCTTCCCTTGTCTTCATCATGGCATACACACTTCCTGGATGCCAAACATCAAATGCTTGTCCCCCAGATATGGGAATGAGTTTTTCAAAATTGGCATCCTCATCCCGGTCCTACCTCTCAGTAGCTGTGTGGCCTTAGATAATTTGTGGAACTCCGTTGAGCCACAGTCTTTTTTTTTCCTGTAAATTAGAGACAAGAAAATAATTACTCATGAGGTTATTATAGCCTCTCAATAAGAATATGTTTGGGTAACAGCACAATGCCCTGAAATAGTTGTGCTGAAATATGTTAGTCATAAAAGTAATGTATAACTAATTATGGCTCTCTTCTCATCCATCAAACAGGAATGTCTGTTTTCTACTCCTGTTAAAAATAAAACATATGTGATAAAACATATAATTGTATCTGGTCAAATGAGAACCTATCTTCCTAGTCATTATCCCAATGTAGATTTTGTGCTGCTCTCTGCCCCGCTCTGGTGATCAGCACTCACAGCAAGGTAGCACTTTGCTGTCTGATTGCTTCCCTCCTCCTTAGAGACACCTTTGATTTCGTCACCAATGATTTCCCTTTTATCTGTTCTTCCCATCTCTCCATAATTCTTGTCTAACCCAGTAGATACATTGCCAAAAATATCAGATCTACACCTCTAATTTCCTCAGCAAATGAGAAGCTTAGTGGGGGCATATGTGAAAACATGTTATATGGAGGCATATATCATAAACAGTTAATGCCATCGATATTCACTTAAAAAGTACAAGAAAATGTCTATGAATTCTCTACATATCTCAACTTCAACCCTCTAATGAAAACTTTTCCCTGTAGACAAAAACACTTTATTGCCGGGCGGTGGTGGCGCACGCCTTTAATCCCAGCACGTGGGAGGCAGAGGCAGGCGGATCTCTGTGAGTTCGAGGCCAGCCTGGACTACCGAGTGAGTTCCAGGAAAGGCGCAAAGCTACACAGAGAAACCCTGTCTCGAAAAAACAAAAAACAAAAAACAAAACAACAACAAAAAAAAAACCACACTTTATTATATATGTTTATATTTTATAAATATCAAACATTATTTTTTGTATTTACCCATGACAAATATATAATACAACTAAGATATATCAGCAGACAAACAATTAAATTAAAAATATTGATATATTTATAGTCCTATGTTTATATTGGGTCTTCAGGATCTAGTTGGCATTTGATCCCTATAACACTTAAGGCTTTGACTTAACACATTTCAGATGTACAAGAATCACATGTGGACAAAAACTATACTATCCATCAGCACAGATCTAAATTCTCCTCTCACTTGCTGCTTGTTGGGTAGCCGACTATTAATTCTCTGGGCAGGAAAGGTATTTCTACATAGAGTTTAAGAGATTGCTAAACTTGTAGCACTTAACACAGGGAAGACACAATCAACAGTAGTTTACTAACTGTGTATAATCACAGCTGCATGCCAGGCAGGCCTATGAGGGGGCTTTATTTTGGAACAGAGTGAACAGGGGCTGTAGGAAGCAAATGTTGGCTTGCAAAGAAGGTGACTCCTAGTTCCCACAGATGGAGGACTTAGGTGGCTTGTCTGAATAAGATGGTGTGCTGGAAGGGAAGTAAATCCACTACCACAGATAAGTGGACGGTCCATGATACATCCGATGTGGATGAATGTGAGCGGCGAAAATTCTGTGCTGAAAGGGAAGTAAACCTACTACCATGGATAAGTGGACAGTCCGTGATACATCCGATCTGGATGAATGTGAGCGGCGAAAATTCTGTGCTGGAGTATAACAAGATGGAATTTGAAATTAGGTCCACTGATGTTCTCCTGATTTTACCAGATGTCTATAAAGTCATTACAGGGAGCCTTAATTTTCTACTTCCCCAAACTCTGAACACTGTGATATGACAGAGAGCACCTACCTTATTAACATAAACTCTGAACAGGATCATCATCCACTTCTCTGTTAATTGTATCCCATACCACTGGTGGCTTTGTAGCTTGAAAATAGAACCAGATATTCACTATCTTTAAACTTTCCAATATTCCCATGAACAAAAGTATTACAAAATCCATAACAAGGTATGTGAAGATTTTTTTTAAAAATATAATTTGAGGTTTTGCCTTCCAGACCTTTCTTTCTTCACATTAAAAAAAAAAAAACATGAAAAATTCAAGTAACAATCCATTTGCATTTTTCAATTACACTACAATTTTTAGACTGTAGACGCTTGTATAGGAGCTATTAAAGTATTTATTTTTGTCTCTTCCTTAATAAATTTCTTAGATGTGTTGGCATCATTGATTCCCTAACATCCTAATCTTTGAACATTGAGTAATCAGCATAGCTATGGAGATCCATTTCTCTTCCCTCCCTAATTTCTTCTTATCTACAATAAAGCAACACTGTCTCTCAATTCTGTAAGACTTAACTTGGATCTCGGTCTTGAGGTTCTTTCACAACTCTCTCAGTTCTTATTAGGCTACTAATACCAAGTTATTAATACAAGTACTTTGGTATGTTTAGATTATATATTCTATAGTATAATAAATTATACTATTCACATGCACTTATTTCTACAATTTTCCACATAAGGCTACGTGATACCCTATAAAAATGAGTTACAATGTCTTTTTATTAGTGTATCACATATGCATAACATAAAATATATCACAGAAAAAATAATATTAGATGAAAGCATGAATTATCTTCTGTCTTTTACATGGTAAAACCTGGAATGCAACTTTGGGGCACATACTTATACAGATACAAAGTCATTCTCTAGTTCATAGGCCCAGGACACATATTTTGAGAGGCATTTGGTTGAAGAGTTTGGCTTGCTTTCTAAATGCAATTTTATTTGTAAATCTACATCTCCTAGCTCTCCAGGTTTTCTAAGGCCACATTTCCTCTCAGACCCACAGATAAATTTAGTGAGAATTAAACATCCCTAGACAGAAGAATTGAACTATTCTGACTGCTGTTCTTTCATATTGATTTAAAGATCTCAAAGTATTGCTTCCCACAAATCTGTTCATTTATAATCAGAACAAAGCTAAAAGCTGCCTGTCTGCAACACACTGAGTGGGGAAAGGGTCTGACTTTGAATTTAAAAGTTCAATCTATTGACAAGGATACGCATTGGTGACTTAGTACTTAACCATGCAGGCCAATGAGTTGTAGATTTCTTTTTCACTGACAAAAACAATAATATTGATTGTTAAGGAGATGTTTAATACTGATGTTTAATTGTGCCAAACTTTGGGTACTTTCTGATTTGAATTAAAAATATCTCTAAATAATCCAGGTATACCCACTGTAAATACCAGTTTTTTAATATTATTAATTATTTAAGGCTCTATTATCAGTTCCTTAGGTTTCAAAAATGTTTTCAGAGGTATAAATGACCTACCAGAAATGTGATACTAGCATAGTAGTAAAAATACACAGCTGAAAAGGAAACAGAAAGTTGTTGGCAAAGATAAAAGAGAATCATGACAATGTTCTGTGACTGCCAAAGGCCATTTCCAGTTATTAGACTTGGGATTAAAGAGAAAAATCTTATGTACCCCAGCATCAGGAAGCAACTTCAACTACTTCTGACAGGGAAGCAAAACAGAATTCTAGTACAAGGACCAAGACACACAGATGTACAAATGACCTTGTGTCAGGAGAGAGAATGTTACATTGATATATTTTCTTTTATTTTTTTCTCTGCTTGCTGATGAAGATAGACCACAAAATCAATAAAGTGCAGTGGGGTGTGTTGGTGTGATGGGTACACTAATCTGCTTGCTTTTGAGGTTCAAACCAAGACTGATTTGTCGAAGTTACCTGAAATAATTTCTGCAGTCTACATTCTCCACACTGAAGGCACGGACATAAATTTTCTCCTTGTAGATTCAGATAGGAGTCTAGGCACTAAATTCTCAGTGTGGAGATCCATTTTTTTCTCTCTTCGATGTTTCCTGAACATTTCCTAAAAATGAGTGTTCTTACGCAAAAGCCTTCATCATATTAAAATAATTAAGCCTATGCAAATCTATTACGTATATTGAAAGAGAAATCATTCCGACTGCAGAAGACACTTAAGGCAGGGCAGCATGGAAAAACTAAGAAGAAACGTGACAGCAGACACAGACAAGTAGTTATGTTCTTGTCACACATGGCACACAAGCAATGGATGCAAACCCGAACCTCCTCTTTCCTAGGCTACCCTTAATCAATGCACATAATGTGACCATTTAGCAGCTACTGCACAGCTGTGTGAAAAGAACCACCTCCCATCAGCACCTTCTCCCTGTTCACCCAAAGACTAAGCACCTATTTAAAATACTTTCAATCACAAAAACAGGGCAGAATAATGTGGGAGCAGGAAGGACAGCTTGCATTGAGGTATGGCCACTTCCTGATTCTGCTTTGTCCACAAACCCTTTGTTTATCCTCGCTGTCCTATGATTTCCTGATATTTATACTACAAATGATAGTAGCAGCTACCCCTGGAGTTATTGTGAAGGTGATATAACTTACAACTTGAAAGCACCCAGAAACAGCAGCTGACATGTCGCAACACCATGACAGTGAATCATATTTTACATTTCTTCTTATAGACACACAATATGTACTTTAAAAATACATCCCAAAAATTTTGACTTAAGCATATCCAAAAAAAACCTAAACTATGTGGTCACTAGGTGATTTTGAATGATAAGAAAGTAATAGCCTTTGTATATACTTGCAAGTTCCAGTTCTGTCAAAAACATGTATGTTGTGGGCCAGGCTATGAAATTCTTCTGAGCCTCATTTCCTCCTGAAGAAAGAGCTGGAAATAAAAAGCTAAAGATACAGCACAGGCAAGTGAAACCAAGATCTAAGATAAATGAATAAAAGGTTATAATAGGAAACTGAACTGCTCTCGATAAATCACACACCCCCCCCAAGAAAGGATTTATTCAGAACACCAAGAAAATGGCCTAAGTCCATCATCATGCCTGTAGAAGAGAACATAAAACTGTCAGGAACCATTCTTGAAGAGCAAAGGGAAAGGCAAAGTTCCCAAAGAAACCAGAGATTAGAAAACATCAATTTAGATTATTAAACTGGGTAAAGAAAAGTGCATTAGAGAAACAATAAACTTGGGCTTCACAATATCACTCACAGCCAGGAATCTAAGGTTCCAGAATAGTTGTATAAAATATCCCACAGAAAATCTTTTCAAATATATTAATAGGAATCTAGAGACAAAGTCTCCATATTGTGGAAGAATTCCTGAAAATAGTACTAATTGACCAGGCATCTTTAATCCTCAAGTATTAAATCTACTATGTTGATGTAATTTGTGGATTGTCAAGATGCTGCTAGAGTGGGTAATTCTCTCCTAAATTATTTAAACACTTTTTTCTTGTCTTACATAACACCCTTTAGGGTAAAAGTTCATGGGTTACAAGAGGTAAGGCATATGTGTTAAACAACAAGATTGTGTCAGAAAATTCTGTGATAAGGGTCAAGTTCTCTTTTTGCATATACTGTCCTAGAGCTAATAAAGATTTTGTATTTTAAATGTATTAAATATTTTGACAAGAATATACACCATTTCTGATAGCACACACCTGTCATTCCAGCAATCACAATGCTGAGGCAGAATCATGAGTTTAAGGCCAGCCTGAGCTCTATGGAAGAGCTTGTCTTAAAATAGTTGTTTAATTAATAATAATGAAAGCCATAAGAAAATAACACTAAAGAAGAATATGAGTCAAAAATTCTCTATGGCCTAAGGAAACCTAGAATTCATTATACGATTCTCTACCAAAAAAAGTTTGCTAACTTTTCTGCTGAAGAAGCAGTCATTTTTGAATCAATATTACTTGGCTTTACATGTGAGAAGCCCAAATCAAAGAAATACTGTAAAACAGCAGAGCTAAATCCTAAGAATTGCTTGTAGAGCTGGTCAAAATTATGGATGCAATGTCCTGTCTTCTCAGAAAGTGCAGTCAATAAATGGAGAGTCAATGGACATGGCAATTCCTCACTCAGTTCCAACACAGCAGTCACCAGAACACTTTCGAGGTTTAAGCATACACTTAGATACTGAGATGTTGAAGGCACCCAATATTTGGTAAACCATTAAAGCACCTGTCTAGATTTTAGCAGCCATAATGGGTATTTCTCTTGATATCTAGATGAATAAGCAAGAGAAATATAAATCACAAAGTAGTAAGATTCAATAAATTATCAAATACTGCATTCTTTGTGGTCGAATAGCCAATAGGTTTTGCTCTCTAGATGACTTTGTTGTCTTTATGTGGGGTGTGTTCACTGGAGTGTCCTCAGAATAACTGCTTACTGTTGTCCTGTTGTCAATTGAGTAGATTCCAAAGGAATTAGGGTTGTAGGCCAAGACTTGCCATTTATCAGTAAGAAACATATATATGGAAAACCAGACAAGGATGTAAATGTCAGATCATCTTCATAGGATCTGTACCCAGCATGAATAAAGTAATTAAATATAAGCATCTTAGATATAAAAGCCTTACTGATAAAGTCCAGTTTTCCATCCTCACCCTGGGTGTCAGCCCTTAAGCCTGAAGCACAGGGAGGGTCAGTCACAAGCATTTTTATAAGTCTCAGAATGACATATATATCATACCACATTGGTCAGAATCTGGGGAGCAAAAGCAAACTGTACTGAAAGGTGGCTGGAAAAGGTGGTCCAGCCAGATTTTTAAGACAAAAGAAATGTTTGGTAAATAGCCAGAAATTCTCCATCGTAATTGTCCCTTCTAGTTTCTAGTTATGTTCTTCTGACAGAGTACATTTACTATTTCCCCAAGGAAAACAATGCAAAGTCCTTGGGTCACTTTTTCTATGGCAGTGTAGAAAATCTCATGTACTCTGATAGAACCAGAGACAGTTCCCTGTGCTCTGACAATGCCAGCACAAATCACACTCTCTCCTGCAGACAGACACACGTGGTACTTGATCTATCCTTTGTTATGGATGACAACTTTGCCAATGCTGTCATTTATCTCAAACTTGGTGGCCATTCCCTCATCAGCTTCTGCCTGCCCTCAAGGAACTTGATGAATGTTATTCTTCTTTGACAATAATCCCCCTTTCTGAGATTTTTTTCTTGCCACATATCAATTATATATATAATATTGGGTTTTATTATGTCATATTCATGCATGTATGCGATGTATTTTGACAGTATTCACTCAAATTACCCTCTTCTTTTATCCTCTGTCTGCTAACGACCCTTCCCCTTCCCACATAGATCCACTTCTACTCTCATGTTTATTTATTTGTTTTTCTTATTTTTTTTTACATTTTATTATAAGGAAAAACAAAAATAAATAAAAACAACACACACCAAAATATATACCACTAAGTGACTTTATAAACAGAATTGGCTTTCAGAATGAAAGCTGTAAAGATTGACATTAAATTTTACACTTTTGGTATGGAATGTCTTTTAATGTACTTCTCAGCATATTTATTCATTTTGCATTATTTATCTATTCATTTAGTTTTGATGACCAGTGAGTTTTGCTGGAGTGACTTACTGGGTCCTGGTGATATTTATCGGAGAAGGACCTCAACTGTGGCCACATCATTGAAGGAATTGTCTCTCCCCACCCTTGCTACCAGAGACTATTACCTGCTCACAGATATACAGGGAGAAGGTGGGGCTTCATGAATGCTACTAGATATCAATACATGGCTGTGGATCCTGGTGGAGGGGCCTCACCCATCCTCCTCTCCCCTCATGACAGTGATCAAGAGTGCCAAAGACAGCCTTCTGCACTTGACTCCTTCCTCCAGATCTTACACTCTTTTATCATGCCTTCTGTGATTGAGCCTTGAAAAGGGCTGGTACAGAAATTCCATTTGTGCCTGAGTAGTGTATTTCAGGCAAGGATCCTCTCATGTGGAATAGGCCTCAAATCTTATCAGAGAGCATATGGTTTCCCACATTACTGATTTACCACTATTGAGTCAATGAGCATCTTTTGGTTGGCTAGTCAATAGTGGAGCATACAATAGCCACAAATGACTTTTGAAAATTCTCCCAAAAACCTCAGTTGCACCTTCCTTCAATTTATGAGCTAGAAATTAGAGAGAAGTCTTCCAGAATGTTCTCCTTATCTCCTAATCAAAGTGTGCAGATTCTTCAGCAACTAGATCTCACCATCTAATTCTAATTCTAATGGGCAACTGGTAGCCATGGCAAATGCCTGTATGTTTGTAGACCTCAGAGGCTTTCTTAACTACTCACTAGTCACCAACTTACACCTGATATGGGACTTTTTGCCTAATAACCTGTGGTTTCAGATGCAGCTTTGTATATACACATAGGACAGGTATGTTGAAACTTTCATTTTCTTTTATTATATTTTATGACTAGCTTACCCATTACCAGGTTTTCTTCTGGGTTTTTCAGCCATCCTTGGTTTGGTTGACACCCCCCTTACCTCTTTCATATTTCCTTGCCTCCTTCTTTAAATCCAACCTTCTTGTTATCCCCTTGATTTTTAATTTTGAATGTATTTTTTACTATCCTTTCATTCCTTAAAGCTTCCCAGCTTTACACATATTCATTCACACTTAAATGTACATTTGTAAAAAGTAGCAACTAAGATCCACATATGCGAGAAAAAAACACACAAGTTTTCTGATATTGTGCTGCCTCGCTCAAAATGGTATTTCTTGTTCTATCAATTTTCCTGCAAATTTCATAATTTTATTTTTCTTTATAGGTGAACAAAACTGAATTGTGTATATGTACCACACTTTCATCTGTCAATTAGTTGAATGGCATCTAGGTTGATTCTGTTTTATTGCCATTGTGAAAATAGCAGCAAAAAGTGTGGGAGAGAAAGTATCCCTGTGGTGGGATGTGGAGTACTTTGAAGATGTGTCCAGAGTTGATTACATAAGACTTCTACCAGTAGCTTTTGAGAAACCACCACAATTATTTCCATACTGGCAGTACCAATTTACATTCCTACAAGCAATGAATTAGCATTCTTCATTCTTCACCTCTATGTCAGCATTTATCATCCTCTGATTTCTTGATAACATTCATTCTAAAGGTTGTGAGATGGAATTTCAAAGTACTTTAAAAGTGTGTGTGTGTGTTGTAAGTATTCCCACCTGTGAATGTGGGGGAGGACCAGAGGTTGATATCAGGTGTCTTTCTCTATTGTTCTCCATTTATTTACTAAGACAGTATCTCTTACTGACTTTTGTATGGTAACTTTGTATTCTACCACTTTGCTGGAAATTTCTGTCAGTTCTAGAAGTTTTCTAGAGAAGTCTTTAGGATCCTGTATGTGTAGAATCAATTCATCTGAAAAGAAAGAAGGATATTTTAACTTCCTTCCTATTGATACCCCTTTATTTCCTTCTCTTGTCTTATTGTTTTAGCGAAGAGTTTGAACAATAAGTTGATAATTGCAGAGTAGACACTCTTCTTGCCTTGGTCCTTATCTAAGTTGGAATGCTTCAAGCTTTCCTCTATTTAGCATGAAAAGTTAGCTGTAGGTTTTCATATATAGTCTTTACTGTGTTGAGATATACTCTCTCTAATCCTTGTGTCCCCAGGGCTTTAAATGTTTTCTTAACCTATAAAATTTCAAATTAGTTAAGATAGCATGAAATATTAAAATAAATTAATATCTAACTCTATGTATTATCATGAATATAAAAGTCCATGTAACCCAAATATCAGCAGGGAGAGGAGTTAATTAGCAGAATCTGCCTTATAACTAAGTGCTTAGATTGCCTTATCTAAATGAGAAGGCATAAGAGAAAAGAGAAATTTGAGAATTTTTGAGATTTGGAAGTCAACATTAGCAGGCATGTTTCTACTCCTCATCATGCCTGTTCAGTCTTAGTCTTGAGGCATCGCCTTCACGTTACTACAAGAATGACTGAGAATTGTTTGCCAGTGGTCTTGATGAATGGGATGTACATTTTGTGAACAGTTTCATGACCCTGTGCATGTAGCTGTAGAACACTTTCAACACTCCATTCTTCAGGGAAAGTCCTTGAGACAGAAAGTAACAACTCATAATAGCTTCAGGAAGTCCTTGAAACTGGCCAGATTCATCAGGTCACACATTCTTCAAGAGTAAACAGCAAGGGCTGCCGAGAGTCACTCTTTGACAAGCAAACTGCAAAGGGGACTCTGAGACACACCCAGCCACTTGGAAGAAGCAGAGACTAGTTGTACTGCCTGGAAGAGGTCTAGACCAACGGAGCTAACCTGTTGAGCTTCCTGCAGGTTGTGTGGTATGATCCAGGCTTCCAGCTTTTGTGAGATGTCACCCATGCTGGGGTAGGCTCTAGTAGGCTGGGGTGGGCAATGAAGTTGTCTTTGCATCATTTCTGCACATGTAAGTAATCCTTCACTCATACTCATGTAAGTAATCCCAATAAAACTCATTGGTTCGTCAACTTGAACATTGGTGGGAATTCATACTTTGGTCTGTCATGGGGTGAAAGGCATGTGTATGTGTTATATCTGCCCAGGTAAAGTCTATCACACAACATAATTGACACATGAACAAGGACCCAACAGAACCAAAGATGAGATGGGGAGGAGTGAGTACATGGTCCTGGTTATAGGTAGCAAGGCATACAATTGAGGTGTGTGTTCATGTGCCTTTGTGCTATGAAGAAGTTGCATGATGCTTGCTATGGGTAGTGAGATGCGCAACCGAGACTGAGCCATTAGGGTTAGGAGTGTCTGTGAAAGGAATACCAGGATAGCAGTCTATGTGGTATGGGGTATCATGCTTGGTTTATTAGCTGGGTGTACCACATGAAAGTGGAAATCCCCTGAAAACAGTTATTTTGTCTTTGAAATTAAAGCAAAGGGTCAAGATTGTTGGCAAGCAGCAGCAGTGGTTGCAAGCCTTTGTGGTATATGGTAAGAAATAGATCTGAGGCGGAGATAGTAGCCAAGCTGGAACTTGTTTGTGTAAGGGGGAGTTACAATACGAAAGGGGATGTGGTTAGTCTCCTCCATGTTAGCCTTGGATTTGGCAAATCAATTAGAAGATGAGATACATATGGTAAAAGCAATAGAAGATATCCTTTATATCTGACCTTTTGTGGAAAAAGAGGGAAAAATCTGTGATCCAAGATCTGGATGAGCCTTAACAACAGTCCTGTATGAAAAACTAGGGTGACCAAGAAATATTCAGCACTTGAATTGCTGGAATTGGGGAAGAGTTTTAAACAAGCAATAAAAGTGCCTATCACTGCCTGACTTGTGAGGCTGAGGGACATGGGAGTGGATGGGATCAGTCTGACTGCTGTGGATGCAGAAAAAGTGAGCAATAACTACCTATCCTTCCTTAAAGCAAAGTCTTCATAACCTGAGATGCTATGAGGGAAATCAGTCCAAGATGGGCTCCTTATCAGAGCCATTAGATTATTTGGTTATATCAGGGTTGGAGGACCGTAGAGGAGTGGCAGGTGGTACAGAGGGGCTAGAAATAAGAAAAGCTGTGTTTGAATCTTAGTTCACTGGTCCAGATAGAACTACGTTCACGGAAGAGTTAAAGAAAAGGCTCATTGAGCATAGGTCTTGGGGCTGGTGTAGAGCTTTGGTGGCTTTTCTGAGTTATTTGTTGAGGCAAGCTCTGTGTAAAGTAGGAAGGGCTTTGGCCAATCTAGCTGATTTAGAACAACATGTAAAGAGCAACCTAGGGGAAATAAAAAAAAGGAAAAGCAGAGGAAGAATTCTATCTGGGTTACTTGAAGGCAAATGTAGTGAAATTTGTGTGGAGTTGGAGTTACTAAGGAAAATACTGATAGAAAGCTGAACTCTGTGTTAAGGAAATTCTGGAAGGCTTCAGCGACAAAAGGGTAACTCACAGAAAACATTCCTGATAGAAATATACAAATGAAGATGATCAAGTCTGCCTAGGGATGGGGGATGGATAATTATCCCCCAAGGTGAAGAAGGGTGTACTGGGGATGGAGATGGTTTGGCCAGCTAGGTACAGTAAGTAAAGAGGCAACAGTTAGAGCTACAGCCACAGGGGTAGTCCAGGGACTCTAGGACTCAGGGGTCCAGCAGTTGCAGTAGAGGAGAGCAAGGCCACATTTCTCCCTTGGTCCTGAGTAAGGCTGAGAAAATTAAGTCAGGTCCAGTGAGTTCACCACAGGTAGAGAAATGTACAGTGAAGAAAAATCTAGCCCTAGAGAAATTTGGAAAGAAAAATCTAAATTAAAGCACATTGTACACAGTGGGATTATATTCAACTACAAAAGAATGACATTGAAACAATTTGTTATGCAGCCAATTTCCTCTGAGATCAAAGCCTTGCACCTTGGAGGGAAACTCTGACAGATACAAAATGTTTACAAGGAGGTAAAACATCAGGTTGTTGTGAACAGAAGGTGAACCGCTCCATCCTGCAGGGAAACTCATTAACTACAAGAAATAAACAATTCAAAGGATTCAGGAAGTCCCTGAAACTGACCAGATACACTAGGTTCCTCCCACCCAAAGCATTTTTAAGCTGTAAGGACTACTAAAATCACTCTCAAACTAGTCAAACCAGAAAGAGCAGCTGAGCTGCCTAGAAGAAGGAGCAAACTGAGCTGTTTGGAAGAAACTCAGACCCCTGAACTGCCAGAGACACTTTCCAACCTGTTGAGTTCCCTGCAGATTGCACAGTGCACTTGAGGTTTCCATCATTATTTAGCTGTCAGATATGCTGGGATGGGCTTTGTGATGCAGCTGTCTTTGAGTCACTTCTGCTGCTGTAAGCAAATCTTCACACATTCTTCCAAATAACTTCAACAAAACTCATTGATACACCATGTTGGACTTCACTGTTATTCTTACTTTTGGTTCATTGCTATTTCCCTATCTGAGATGATTAGACATTGTTAATCTCTCCTCAGGAATAGTGTGACATAGAACAACTAACAGTAAATAATGAACCAGAAATCGTTGTATTAGGTAAAATAACCTAGATTCAAAAGAAAAACATCACATGTATTATTATATATGCACATTTGAGATTTAAATTTGTATTTGCATGTGTGTGTATTTGTGGGTACATGGGCATGTGTATGCTCTCAAAACACATGAAAAAACATGTAAGAAAGAAGAAACAGGCCTAAAGGGAGGGGAGGAGGAACAAGAGAGGGTCATGAAATTTGTTTAATATGAAAGCAAAATGAGAAGGAACCAACTCCAAGGAGAAGGGTTGGCTGTGAGAAAGCAGTGCACTGGAACAAAGTATAGTCACAGGCACAGACAGAATATCAGAATAAAGCCTGCTACTCTGCATGTACCTTTGGAAGAGGGAAGCGCTCCCTTTAGCTAAGAAAAGTAGGTCACTTGCTTCCTGAAAAGGTAGGCTAACATTTCTAAAGGAATTAGCCGATCTGCTCTTCCTTCTCACACTTTGACTTTCCAAAGCTACCCAGTTCTAGAGGTCCCCACCAACTCCAACCAGCGTACCCTAACTTAAGCCTGCATCTCTTTTTGAAAAAAAAGTAATTATTACCTCTAATTTCTTTTTTTTTAAGATTTATTTATTTATTATGTATACAGAAGAGGGCGCCAGATCTCATTACAGATGGTTGTGAACCACCATGTGGTTGCTGGGAGTTGAATTCAGGACCTCTGGAAGAGCAGTCAGTGCTCTTAACCTCTGAGCTATCTCTCCAGCCCATACTTCTAATTTCTTAGTTGGGCTTCCATAAACTAGGTTTTGTGTCAGCCAGAGCAGCTCTTTTAGTCCATGATATGCTACTTTAACAGACTGCCTGAGTCTATGACCCTTAGAAAAGCAAGAGACTGAATTACTACTACACTATTCATGTGCTTCAAGATGGTGGCCACATTATCTCAGCTCTGGTGAGGACCTCATCACAGACAGCAGTATGGTGGGAATGTGTAACAGCAATCAATTCAGCATCCAAAAAACAACCTTAGTCCCTTCCAGTGACTATGGCCCAATGAGATAACTAGCTTTGCTAACTCTTGAGGTTCCATAGTACCTTCCACCTTTACCACACTGAGATTCTAACATAGGAGCCCCCAAGGGAACTATAATGGAGCGGTCTCCTCTGGTTATATGTTGCTATATTGAATCAGAACAGCTTCAGTCATCACTCACAAATCAGACCTATTAATATTTCCTACTGGTGAGGTGGGGGGAAGCATTCACAAGGGTATGAGGCTCATAAGCTTTATGAAAACATCACAAGAGCCTTTCCCTTCCTAAGGTGGTATAAGAGGTAAACAGTTGACAGGTGAGGGACTCTGTATTGGTTTAATTATTGCTTGGAAGTTTCCCTGGGAGACTTTCAGAGCTTTAAACACCTTGGAGTTTCCTGTATTCCTCAAAGTAATCCCAATAAAGGTATTGATTCACTAGACTGCACTTAGATTGAATCCATTGCTTTTTGTTTTTTTGGAGGCGGGGGTCTGTAGTATCCCCTCTATACAGGGTGAGTAGACATCTCTTCACAACCCTCCTAAGGAAAAGTCACATGGGAGATTTACATGGAAGGACAAAGCAGATGCCATAAGAGGCTGCTCAGTCTTCTCTCAGAGATTAGGCCTCAATTTCAGTTTTTCTGAGACTGAGCAGTTTCTGAGAGGGCCATGAACAAACAACAATTAGTCACTGATGCCCCTGTCAACAGGGACAGGGAGACAGGACACACCAAGCCTGGTCACTGAGCCAGCCCTCACAGTCAGTATGTGCTAGGCCATCCCGCCTCCATAGCAGCACAAGGACAAGGCCTGGGACTTGTCCAGGCCTGCCCCCAAATGGCTAACTGTAACCCCAACTAACCCTAGCCAATTAAAAGTTACTAACATGATTACCACTCATATAAACCAATCCTAAGTCTGTTCCTATGTAGTCTGTAGAACCCAAGACCTCCGCGCTTGCTTTACCCTCTATAAAAACCTTGCCCCATTGCTGCTCAGGATCTCTCCTGCTCGGCTGTTACATCAGATGGATGGAGAGACCCGAGTTAACTCAACTCTTTGCTTTTGCATCAGATTTGATCACTTGATGGTCTTTGGGGGTCTGGACTCTGAGCACAACAAACATACACTTGAACCATACCCAATACATGAACTAGATATTCAACTAACTTCCCTATAACACTGTGCCTCTGCCTTACCATCTTATGTCCAAATTAACCTCCTTATACTTGTCTGAACTTACCAAACAGTTTCCTATCTTAGAGCTCTCAATATCTTCTCTACAAGATATAAGTTCCCCAATAGTTACACCATGTCTTTCTTTCTTGTCATCTCAGACCCTTGCACTGTCAAATGTTCCATGGGCCTTCTGCTTAGTTATTCTGTATCAGTTCTCACCAACTGGAAATGAATCGTCCTTTGTTTTTCTGCTTCCACTGATGAGATAATAAACTCCCAAAAATAATGGCTCTGTTCTTTGTAGTTTTTTCTG